TTCACTATCATTTCATTTCAGGTTTATTGTTGCTTAATATAATTGTTATTTTCAACTATTCTTTTTTAATTATTCTTTTTTACTTGTTTCAGGGATTTCAAATCATTTTATATAGTAGACAATGGAAGTCCGAACTAGTGAAATTCAATTGAGATCATTGTTGTTAGAAAAGTCGGTCTACTCTCTGAATGAGTTTTTTTCTATGTGAAAATGTATGTTATTCGTCTTTCTAATTAGTATTATACTGTCAAGCCTTGTGTGGTTGACACTTTTTCCGTAAACATTTTATTTCAATGTCTTAATGACAAAGAAACTATTATTACTATTATTAACTCATTCAGGTTATGCGGCTCCGGATCTTTGGCCATGCACATGAAAACTCACACAGGACTCAAAGATCACATATGCCCTTTCTGTTCGAGAGGCTTCACCACTCCGAGCAATCTCATCATTCACAAAAGGACACACACAGGTAGGTAACATGATTCGATCCGTAAACTCGAAACTCCACTACCTCTATTCTCTTATTTTTTGTTTCCAGGCGAGCGCCCTTACATATGCACAACTTGTGGTAAAGGTTTCCCTGACCCTTCACGACTAACCGTCCACACCAGATCACACAGCGGAGAGAAACCGTATGTGTGCAGCACGTGCGGTCGTGGTTGCGTCAGTTCGTCGCAGCTGAAGAAGCACATGCGCATACACACCGGCGAACGGCCGTACCAGTGCCATCTGTGCCCGAGGGCTTTTCCTAGAAGTGAGGATCTCAACATCCACGTGAAGACTCACACCGGTGAGGTTCCTTTTCGATTTTATATGGAAAAATAGCGAAGTTGAACACAATGTTTACTTGAAAATTCCAGAATATGAAGTTATGTTACTTCTCCGTCGAGGAAAACAAATAACCGTTTCCTCGGGTTTCAACAAAATTAATATTTTTCAGGAGACAGAGATTTTGTTTGCCCGTTCTGCAAGAAGGGCTTCTACCAAGCTTCCACCCTGAAGGTACACATCAGGATACACACTGGAGAGAAACCTTACAAATGCAATATTTGCTTCAAGACCTTCTCCCAAACGGGTCCTCTCTCGACACACATGAAGACGCATTGATAATTGCTTGAGTTTCATTGAATGAAGTTTTTCAAGGCAGCGTTTGATTTCCTCAAAAATAAAATTGCCCTTTATGTAGGAGTCGCAAACTAAATTTTCAAATCACGAACAATTCAAATTGAAAGGGATATATTTTTAGGAGAGATCAATTTTTTTTATTGTTGTTTTATAATTTCATGATTTGTATTTTTGGGAAAGAAAGGTTTTGGCTATGTCTCTATCTTTATACAAAAAATGTAGGAATATTCAGAAGAAAGGAAAAAAGTAATTAATTTCCAAATGAGCTTTTCCACAAAGATGTGAAGATCAAACAAAGAAGTAATTTTCAGACACAGACTCAAAAAAATGCCCTCCCAAAACAACTATCTTCATATAAACGTTGACATTTATGAAAGCGATCCTGTGAATGATATGTGATTCAGTTCCATAACAAATGTTTGGAATACTTTGAATAGGAAACATTGTTTTTTGTATAGTTCAATGTTCTTATGAAAGTAGTTGTTTCGAAATAATTTTTTCGTTCTTGTACTTCAATGTTTATAGGGAAGTTGTTGTTTCAGAAGGGCTTTTTCTTCCTTTCTTTGGAAGGTTCCAACTTTTGTTTAATGAAGATGAAGAGGTAAAAAAACCTTTCTTTCTCACAAAAAATCTGTTCTGAAATTCAGAAAAGTGCAATGAAAGGAAAAAATTCATATTTCTTTCACCTGTTATTTTGATATTCTTTGCGAATTCCAATCCAGGAAACCGATTTTCACTATCATACATTCTAAATTGAAACCTGAAAATGCTCACACTGCTCTCAAAAAATTTTGGGATCGGAAATTTTAGCTTTCAACCTATTTTTGTCTGTGAGCATAAACTTCGCTCTTCAGCATTATGTTCTATCGATTACAGTTGCAGCCCTTCTTCATATCAAAATTTTGATTCAATAATCATAATTTTTTTTTCTACGTCTATTTTTATGTTAATCTTATCTAACCTTTCTCTGTATATATGTACTTATTGTATAAAAATATATTTTACTTTGAGAATAATTATTTGTTATTAAAAATATGAATATGAAATGGTAAATAATTTCGGCTTCCCTTCAATAGTAAGAACATGAATGAGTGGATAACTTCATCCACTGCTGGAAAGATGGCGTAGCAGTGACACCGAAATAGACAATGACCGAAATTAGAGAAAAATAAAAACATGAAATGTCTTAACTTTGGACGCTGCTCGAAAGATGACGCTACACCTCCATAAAAAAGTATCATTTCTATCAGAAAGATGGCGTAGTGATGCAAAAAATCAGATTGAGAAAAGTGCCTGTTTTGAATGAATTAGAAAACAAATTATATTGAAATTTAAAAAACCCAGTAAAAATTAAGAATAACTAAAATTAAAGAATTGGTCTCGGAAATTAAACAAGAATTGACCTTTAGAAATTGATCTAAAACAAAATTAGGAAGATAGATTAGAAAGTTAAGAATTAGGCTGTTCTAATTAATCTACGTAATAGAAAATATCGGACATATTTCTTTAAATCTTTCAGTTTCACGTATGCGCTCGCGCCACCTTTCAGCAATGGATTCTTCATATAAGTTAGACAATAGACCGGTTTTTTTCACTCGACGAAAGTGGAGGCATTTGGTATTATATGATTGGCAACCATTTTTATTAAAAATTCAATTCTAACGTTATTATAATTCTCATTCTTAGTTCCAATACGACTGTTATATCTCTCACAACATATAAACTGAAAGTTAGAATGAATGAATTTATAAATGTGACATCTACTATAGCTAATATTAAATGACTGTTCTGTTTCAAGTTGAAATGATTTATTGATCAACCGCTTCTTGTGCTTAATCTGAAAACTAAAGAAGAAGACGATTAGATAAAAGTAACCCTAATTTAAATGTTCCAATGAATTTTGTTAAAATGGGATTGTTTATCAATTTAGCTAGAAATTCAATATACCAAATAACCAGGTAATTTTTGCAACAAAGTCGTTTGGTTTGACCTGTAGCCAATCTTCGTGTTTATTCCAGACAAAATATCCATCAGAGTGCTGGGTTGCGTCAACCTGGAGCTTATTCTGGGGAAGGGAAGACGTCTATACATATTTTGAACCAGGACAAAGATTTAGGAATATTAATAGACGGTTATAGCCAAGTAAAACTAGGGAATTCCAAAGTCAATGTAATCCTAATTATTGATTTTCTTTCAGGTGGGTTTTCGACTGAATAACCAAGTGACAATTTTAGGCTCTATGGTTATTTTTCCAAGGTACCTATATGTTCAACATTGATGCGATATAGAAATCTATTAAATTGATTATTTGATATTCAGGTCCGTTTTGTCATGGAAAGTAGATGATGTTTCAGAAATAACTGAAGAAGCATTGAGCCTTTTCTCAGTGTTAGAACCCAAAATAGATATACTAGTTTTAGGAGTAGGAGATAAAATAGATAATTTCAATTTTTATCAAAAGTTATTACCGTTCTCCAGGAAACACAGAATCCCATTTGAAATATTGCCTACGGAACAAGCTTGTGCAACTTTTAATTTCCTTAACGTAGAAGGAAGAAATGTGGTCGCTGCTTTAATACCACCAAAGCATATAGTAACCACTGCTGAAGATGAATTGCAGTCTAAATTGAGGTATCAGAACTTATACGAAGATAAATAAATACGTTTAAAATCAAAGTTGTTTCACTAACAAAAATCACCATCTCAACTGGGAAAATATTTGACTCTTGGTATGTTTTGGTAATGGATAAACTCTAAAGAACTACTTAACTGATTTCAAAACTTATGTAACTGTCATAAAGAATTCCAATGCTTTATATCAATTAAATTCAAGTCACAATAAAAGCTTTTTGTCTTATACAAAAGCTACTGTGCTAGCAAAACACGTTGCGATATATTTTTTGAAAAAATAAGTTTGTGAAGATCGATTCGTAAGGTGTAGTTTATGAAATTAGTATGGACCTTCAAGTAACGGCCGAATCAATCAAAAAATATTTTTTTTGACCTTGTTCAAGTGAAAAAAGTTGAATTTTATTTTCATCATTTTATTGATTTCTTTCACACCCCAACACAATCATCCACTGAATTGAACTGCATTATAAGCACATTCATAATGTGGGTATCAATCGAGATACAATCAACATATAAACCTAAAAACTTGGTTGATTCAGACCCACTTATTGAATGGAATATTCACCCATAAGAAACCAGGCAAATCGCTAGCAAAACAATTCATAATAAAATATATCATTTATTGTAACTTTCACAAAATCACTTACATGCTAAATATAAAACTATCATTTAGTGATCAATTATGATGAGTTCATCAATTCCCCAGTCCTCATATGAATGGTCGGGCAAGTATCTTCGTATAATGATGGGAATTTTACGCTGCTTCAATTCCTTCATTGCGATTTGCAGAGGATCTGTCTCGCCATCCAATTCTACCATGACGGGGGCGCACATTGCTATCTGTAAAGCTCTCGTCCCCAAAACACGAGCCCGTTCATATTTGGTCATGTATTTCGTCGTGATTCGTTTCTCTTTGGGCACTCCTCCACCTGCTTGTCCGGGTGCCAGAATATCGATATTGTCTCCATCTTCTTCGGGTTGCTCCAACTCCTCGATGTTGTCATCTTCAACGTCATCGTCAAAATCGTCTCCCACATCGTTATCATCGAATTCTTCGTCGGCCATTTTCAAAAACCGAAATAAATGTATGTATGAATTTCAGTAAATATTCAGAAATATCTAGGTTAACAGCTAACAATTTATAACCTGCATGAGGTTTCTTCTTCTTCTTTTTCCATTAATGGCTTCAGCTGCCAGGGCTATCCAGCCAGGAGTTCCGGGATCATGTTGCTACTACAGGTGGAGCCCCCACACTGAAGTGGATCTGAGTTGGACCCAAACCCCACTTGGTTTTGCGCTATAACAAAGTTCGACTGTAGTTTGAGGTCAGTTAACAAGCAATGTCCGTCTGCATTAGAGTGTAAGCACTAATGTGACCTGATGCACTACGGTTACGTGTATGGACACTACGGTTACGTGTATGGACACTACGATCAGGTCATGATTGGCGAAGCACTGCATGATGATGATGATGATGATAGATACTTTATTGTCTAAGAATAACTTCTTATTGACAAAGTGTCATAAGTAATCATTAAAGTAATGAAGGTACAAAATACAAGTAAGCATAAAAGTGGAAGTATAAAAATTATAAAATTAGTCGAGACGAATAAGATGAGATTAATGTGTATAAACAAATAAGTCGCATGCACACAAGTATTAGGTCTGTCTTGATCACTACAGCTTTATATTGGATGCAATCAGGAATTTGGATATGGTTTGTATGTTAGATGGTGATATATGTTTGAAAAATATATCGTGGAAGGTAAGAGGCTGAATGGTTGAAGGAGGGATGCTAAGAGAAGCATGCAGTATTTGTATATTATGAGAATTATTAGGGCAGGCAAAGAATATATGTAGGAGAGTCTGTATTTCCCCACATTCGCAGCGGTCGTCATCAATTATCTTAATTTTGTGGAGATGCGCTGTATTGAGGGAATGAGTGCTCCTAATTCTGCACATATTGACGATTTCTTTACGAGAACAAGTAGCCAGATCCTTGAACCATGGATTTTTGTAAAGTTGTGGTACGGAGGAAAAGTAAAGTTTGGCTTTGAATTGTCCGTCCTCGCTATATTGATTGGTCCAGTCTATCCAAATGTTATGTTTCAATAATGCTTGAAACTCTCTATAGTCTGCTTGAGGGTGATTAGAGAGTGGATGATTTCTTCCAATATTGGCTAAAGTATCGGCTATATCATTACCCTTGATGTTGGAATGACTAGGAATCCATGCCAAATGTATGCTGAATCCCTTTGCGATGGCTCTGTATATCAGTTGTCTTGTACGTAATGAAAGGTAATCGCTGTTTGCCGATATAGTTGACCGGGAGATTTTTGCCAGGGCGCTTTTTGAGTCGCTAAAAATAACTGCGTGTTTGAGATCGTTGTCCACAATATATTGTATTGCTTCTTGGATGGCTGTTATTTCAGCTGAACATATTGAAAAGAAAGAGGGTAATCGTCCAGAATGGTTTAGGTTGTGTGAAAAAACTCCAATGCCAACATTACCGCGTTCATCTTTAGATCCATCGGTGAAAAAATATGTGTGATTGGCAAATTGTTGCTGGGCGAGTCTGAGAAAATCCTGGTGGTTGTCGTTCTCTTTGGAGAGATTCATTTCATGGTGGGGAATTGGGAATATTTGACCATGTAAACTATAACGGTAACAAGGAAAATTGGGAAGCAACATAATATCTGGGATGTCTGCATGAGGTTTGTCTTGTAGTTTCTTCTTCTTGGCTTTTGGGTTTGGCCATTATCCAGTTTCGACAAAATTGCCTTTATTGTCTCTTGCTTGTTTGATGGGAAGATTGTCGCCCTTTAGTCTACAATTTTCTCATCAGACAACATGGACAAAATTCAGGCGATTTTCGGCAAAATTGACGACACAACTTTATTTACTTCTTCTTTGTGTCAGCTTTGGCTGACATAAAAATCATTGAATCCCTGTCACATGGTAGCATTGGCAAAACTGATGGAAAACAAAACGGATTATACATTTGTTATGTGGAGTTTCCTGTTCGTAGAACTAAAACATATTTTTTTCACATTTTGGAGATGCACAAGTACTGCGAGAGATTGTCTCATTCTTTGTGAATTTAAGGCTCGTTCATGCTTATCCAATTATTTGCAATTTTGTTGTGAATCACGAATGGCAAAATAACCATCGCATTAAGCGTTCATACTTGAACAATTTTAAACCTACCAAAAGGTGCAAGCTTAAAATAAAGTGTAATCTGAAATGCAGTAATGTTTGGATAAATATTTCAGTGAAATATGAGAGGACCGGCGGCCCCTACGCCAGTAACCAAGCTGAATGTCGATGGTTTCGACGAGGTCGTCAGTTCTATAAAATATGTGATATTTTTATCCGAAGGTCTCAAGAAAAGGAGGCGACCACTAGAAAAAATTAAGTGTTTTTGTTAAAAGGAAAAGTGAATGAAAAAACTTAGCGTGGCAGCATTGCCTCAAGCAAGACAGCTACGCCTCCGAACGAAGGTTCTGTTTCCTATGAACAGGAGGAGCCTGGCTAATTGCTCTCGAATGAGAAGCAACGGCGATGGAAATTGAGGGAGAGTTTGTCAATAAAAAAAATTATAAAACAAAAATCCTTCCACTTGAACAATATAATTCACGACCATTTTCAACAGAAAAATATTTTTCCTCAACACAGAACAGTAAACAAGAGAAATGTCAGATAAAATTTTTCATTATTATGATAGTTTCTTCAACTGTAATGTCTGTCATGTATGTAAAGAATTAGGAGAACCCTTGAAAACTTGTTCTAGGTGTAAAACTGTATCGTATTGTTCCCGAAAACACCAAAAAATAGATTGGAAATCTCACAAGGATATATGTACAGTAATTTCGTTAACAAATAGTTTATGGGATCAATTATCCCTGGCTGGATATGAGAATAAGGATCAAAAGAAAAAAATTATGTTTTCAGTGTGGAAAGATAAACTCAAGCGGGATCTTAATGAATCTGAAATGCACATGTGGATGTTTCCCAGAATTTGTGAATTCTGTTCCTCACGGCAAGTTACAACTATATGCCAAAGTTGCCATAACGTTTGTTATTGTTCAGAAGAACACCAAACTAGCCACTATCAACAACACAAGAAATATTGTTGCCAGCTGAAAGTCAGTTTGGAATTGGATATCGAATTCTGCCGAAGTGAACTCAGAACTGAAGATTTAGCAGTGAGTGACTTCAACGATGATTTGACAGTTCTTCCCAGAAGCCTGCATGAACTCATGATTTTGTATGATGAAACATATTCAACAAGTGACCATCCTAATGCTCAGATAATCCATAAATCGAACTTTGTTTCCCCTGTAGCCAGTATTTTGTATGGCCTACAATCCGGGGGGTACTTACTCAATAGAAATTTCTCAAAAGATGATCTTACCGTTCATATAGTAGGGGCGGATTTAACAGAAATGGCTTGGCTGTGGAAAATCATGGCAGAGTTGCCTTTCCACTGGATAAGGAATCTAAAAAGTCTTGATTATATTGTTATTGGTCCTGGTTTAGGACATGACGGAAATACTGAAGAATTCACACACCAATTATGTAATAGTTGTAAATTGAAGGAAGTTAAAGTACGGTGTACTTTCCATACTCAGTTGTACCACAACATTGTGAATTCTATAGAACCTCCAGATGCAGTTGTGGCGTTCAATTGTGGTCTGCATGAGAACCAGGATCAACCAAAACTAGACACCTGGAGAGAGAGTATTCCCAGTTTATTGCAGCATCGTGGGGTACCACTGATTCTCACTTCCTATACATCAAACGAAATTATAAAAGATCTCTCTGTAGTGAAAGAACTTGTTAGTTATGTTATCAAAACTGAACCTCACCGAAATCCATTTTCCAGTATGAGACCTTTGAAAAACTTTGAGAGTCAGCATGAGCCAGTCTATTATCTTAACGGATATATTGCTGTCCTTGCGAAAGACTAGGAACGCTTTTTTATCTAATTTATTTCACACATTTATATCTACTATTCATATTAATATTTCCTCAGAAAATACTGCAGTCTAATTTGTACAATAAGGACTCGTACCCAATCATTTTTATGATTCATTTATCTCTCTATGCATAATTTTCTAATGTATGTATGTATTCCTCATTTTATTATTTTCAATTCGTGAATATGTTGCCAGATAGTTTTCATTCAACTGGTGGGATTGATGATTATATGAACATTAGACAATAAGATTTGGTTCTGAATGGCTGTTATTAAAAAATTATACTTTCAGTAACTTTTTTTTTTTTTTTTTTTTTTTTTTTAATATACTTTATTGTCTGAAGAATAAATTCTTATTGACAAAGCCTTGTGCGAAATATAAATAACATATACATGAAATCACAAAAGTAAAATCACTAAAAGTAGGTTATAACATGAACTGAAAAAAGACATGTAAATAATAACAAACGTTCGGGATATAAGAACATGGTCAACAAAATGTAAATAAATCAATTTAAACTAAATTGAATGAAATGAAATCAATACCCTATTTTTGAAGACAAGGCAGATTGTCTCGTATATAAATAGGGAGACCACAGTTAGGATTTTGTTAGAGGCAAAAAGAGGTCGACAAGAGTCCCTAGGCTTGGCTTTGCATATGCATCGTATTGCACGTTTTTGTATTAGTAATACTGATTGAAGGCATGTGGTAGAACACACACCCCAAAAGCAAATACCATAACGGAGGTGTGGTTCAAAAAGGGAATGATAAACCATTCTAGCTTCTGCAGATCCGAGCTCAAATGCAGTTACTCGTATGGCATAGCATCCAGAGGAGAGCTTCGATTTCAAAGTATCTACATGATTGTTGAATTTTAAACTATTGTCAATGAAGAAGCCAAGGAATTTATAAGCTGGTACGTTATCTATTTGAATATTATTTAGATGTACGGCTGGTATCATTTTCGAAAACAAACTGTGAAATATATCCAACTACAGCATCTGTAGAGACCAGTTAGAGTCCATAACTCCATCACAACATAGTTTTATGTGTTAATGGTCTACGGAATCTAACCTTTTTGTTATTCCCAAACAACTCTCCAATACTCTTGATTCGAAAGGCCAGATAGATGTAATTATGTTAATTTCTCCAATGTCTTTATGAAATCACCAATCAACCCAATGCATAATAATAAAAAAAAACTTTCTCTTGAGATTTATCCTGGATTAGATTGGAGCAAATTAATCATGTGAAGCGAAATCTATATTTTACTTATGTTTCTTTCACTGTAATTGCAATTACTACAATTGTAGTAGTTTTTTTACAGCTTTCCTTATTCTAATATTGCTCTGTAAGGAGATTGTACAATCTATTTTGCAACAAAGGTTATTATTATTCTTAATTCTCTAAAATAAAATTTTCATTAATTATAATTATATGTTATATTGAGACTTTCACTAACCATTTTCACAAAAACACAATCGCAATTTTCACAAGATTAAATACAATAATTTGAATACTTGAGTTAAGTGAAAACAAAAAAATGGCATTGTACACTGGGAAAAGTTTATAGAATGTTTTCTGCTCCCCGAAATTTTTCTAATTCCGTTCATGTTCAATTGAAGTTTGGTGACGTATTGATTTTCTGAATTCTGTTGTTTATTCAGTTGAAAGTTGATAAAACTTTGAATAATTAAAGAATCAATTCTTAAATGTCGAAAAAAAAACCCATATTGTTCAATTAGCGTAATAGAAACGCTATGAGACTGTTATTCCTTTATTGTAAATCATTCTCTTATGCATTGGCGATGACGGTTGGTGTTAATTTGTTAGTAGTAAGTGTTAATTCAAAAGGTGGTTTCAATTTATTTTTCTGTCCTGAAATCAGTCACAAATATTTTGATACCCAAATTCATTATTACCAGAATAAACAACATTATTTAAAAGTGACTGACAATGTTTCCAACTGAATTTTATTCAATAGTTTAGATTTCCATTTCCTAAAAATGTGTTAAAAGATTTGAAATAGGTATATATTACATAGCTACAAGACTGACCTCAAGAAATATGGAAGGACAGCACGTAAATCGATAAACAGAAAGAATAACAATAGAAAATGATATCTTCCTTCCGCTAGAATTTCAATTCATAATTAACACGCTTACGAGATGTTTTCCTTCCAATATGTATGATTCTTCGTAACCCTAGATTTTATTTGGCTACTTAGTAATCAAAAGATGAGTTAGTACTATTGTTTTTATAATTACCGTCTACGATGTTTTTAATATGACGATTTCACTACTTATTCTAGAAAATCTAATAAAGGCAGAATAAACTGTCGAATTCTTCAAGACTCCGTCCTTGATCCGCTATTATTTCTTCTTTATATAAATGGCCGAATAACTATTCAATAATGTTTATTGACGAAGCGTGCGGTACAAATTTAATCCAGTCGCAAGTCAAAAATTAATAAAACCTCTGAAATAAATTATTAAAATGATAATGAATACACTAAACATTGTACATTCAATTTATAATATTAAATCTTAATACTAGTTATCCCTTGAATATTCTTAGGGCCTCGACATCCCTTGCCAGTAGGTACTGCAAAATTATATTTTTATTTGAATACAGTCCGCATCTTCATACTTGAAAATCACAGGGAAAAACATTCTGGCTGGCTCACAGGAACATAATTAAATTCATTAATTACTTGGACTCCAAACAAACTTGCTGAAAAAAGTAAATTTTCGCAATAAAACCAGATGCAAGAGCATGCTTTTACATATATTTATATTGAGTAAGACCTCCGCTGTTAAACACTCTCTTACAGGTGCGTTCAACTGACAATTTGTAGAATTAATTTATCATTATTAAACGTACAATCAATGCGATTGAGTTTATGATTATTGAGCAACGTTTGAATAAAAAACAAAAAAAAATGATGAATGTACAAATTAATAAAATCGATCACCTTGACATCAACAACCTCCTTTCGACTACAAGGTGCTCGGTAGAAAGTTACGAATGATATAATAACATCTAACGAACGAACAACATGTTATAACTGAAAATCTTCGACACCGGAATCATATTTCGAGGTTGTTCGCCACCTGATAACCTTTGAAGCTTCCCTGTTAGAAACTATTTTTTTTTAAGCAGAAATCGATCACTGCATACAGCGTTTCGTCAAGTTCCAAATGAAGATGAAACATAAACACCGTTTCAACCCATTTTCAACGTTTTTTGAGATATAACAAAACAATTCACTACATATTTTTTTCTTTCATATGTCTACGAAAATGTCTGTGATAACTTAATGTTTAAATGACTTGTAGATGTATTCTATTATGTGAAATAGATCGCCTTTTAAAGTTTCTTTCAATTTATTTTGACCATGAAGGAATAATTTGACGGGTTTGATAATAATATAATAAATTATTAATTTACTAGACTTCGATGATTTACAAATCAAATTGCAAAGGAATCGACCTTGTCTTAGTTTTCAGTGGTCCATCTCGTATTTGATAATTTTGGATAAAAAAACCGGTAGTTAGTATATTTGTAGCCGGATCTCTTGAATTTATTAGTGTTTACTATACACAAGGTTTACATTTATCCTAGAAATCATTTCTATGTAGTGTGTGGTGGTTGTACAGAACCGTATTTGTTTTTTCTATGAGCATTTGTAATGATTCAAAAACATCCTTTTCTGACACTCCATGTTTTTCCACTTTCAACTTGTTTTTTTTCTATTGAAAAAATAATTTTCATTAATATGCAGGTAACAGGTAACATTGACAAAGAAGTTCATTCAAATATCCTAATAATATAATTCATATTAAAACTCCAAACAAAATTATAATTTACAATAATTTTTCAATGTCAAATTGATTTCAAGGATACTGTGAAAACACTTGTTCTCAACTATGTACCACCACTTAAAATTTCCCATGCCTTCCAAGTCATCCAAAAACTTGATGATCACAATAAAGTGTTTTTAGAATACGTTAGTTATGGATTTTCATCAAGTATCGACCGATTCCAATTTATAACTCGATGATGTTGAAACTAATCCACTGATCACCTACATACCTGTTTTTGAGTGTTACTCCATATCAGTACAGGTCAGATCGAAGCAGAGGATTCAAATAACAGTTCATTCTTCAGGCGTGTTCATTACTACTACATTACTATAATCTGTTTCTTAATAGTGAAAAGCAATAAATGCTCAACAAAACCAAACACTTCCAATGTGGGTAATAATTCCTTTTCCAGAAGACGACTTTAATTCGGTAGACCAGTCTTCTGAAAATGCTTGACGAGAACTTGTAGTGTTTTTGTCTTGCAACATCTATCCAATAATGGTATATCCTTCGTGAAGTTTCGCCCAGATAATAAATGTTTCTCACGTCGAAACTCTCTGATTTGTTCGGTTGATGTCCTATTCATTTTGTATGAATTCATATTGTATATAGCATATAAAGAAAATAACTTTTGTCTATTCTACTAGGATGTTCATTTGTTACGACCGGTTTCGGTTTATTAAACCATTTCCTTTATCCTATATTCTCTCATGTTATGATTGATAAGCGAGCCTACTGGATAAATTATTGCAGAAAAATCATTCACATGGTTCGGTTGACCAGTCCTACTCCTTGAAAGTCGGATGGATTTATTTTTGAGACTTTGCTGGCGCGTGAGCCCTGACCTGCCTCAATAACTGAAACTCGTTCCAACTGAAATTTTGTCTAAATACCCCTTCTAGATCTGAATGAAAGTAAATTAGCGTGAACATACAATTTCAGTCAGTTGCAACCTTGTTGTCTGTGAGAGAACGCGATAAAGGAATTGTAGGTATTTTATTCAGGTAAGTGATGTGTGCTGCAGCAAAGTTAAATTGAAAAATTGAAATATTAATTCTTTTTGAAAAAATTACTTTAAAAAACTATACTTTCAATGAGTTTCATTTTTTCTAATACGTCATTTCAGGGGATGTTTCAGAAATTTATAAAAATATTCGGCTATTTTTATTTAGCCATCAGTGTTACGAGACGTAAAATCATAAAGTAATAAATACCAAGAAATAAAATTGATAATAACTAACAATAAATGTAAATTAACGTAATTTCAACAAAATATTCAATCAAAAATCGTAAATATTAGAAACGGAATTAAATATTAAAATAAGGAAAAACAAAAATATTTCCTTTTGTTTTATACAGGATATAGACTTCCAATAGTTCATTGATAAAACACCTCCAAATTGATGATAGGACACAACAAAATTGAAAGGTGCACTAATATTCAGTTTTTAGGTTTATATGTTGAAGAAACTCTTTCATGGAATATCCAGATCGATGTAACTCGAAAAAAGTTAGCATCAATCATAGGGATAATATATAAAACAAGTAACTATATTTCTTTGTAGTATATGAAAAATCTTAAAATTATTTTTCATCTATCTTTAAACCTACTAAAAATCTATGTAAACCAAAACATTCACTCGATATCGATTCTATTTATAAATTAAAAGTATGCACCTTTCTGCAGTCCATTATGAAAAAGAAAAAACATTTCTCTATGAAATTCATAGAACATAAATCAGCAAGTAAGACAGCTCAAATCTGTATTTTCTAGAAAATCTATATCTATAAAGAAAAAATTGCCTATAATGAATTACCTAATGATATTTAATAACTTCTGAACACTTTGGAGACTCTACTATTTTGGAATTATAGTATAATTGGATGTGCAAATGAGACTATTTTATAGTTATGGATTTAATTTTCAAAATGTTCTAAAAGTGCATTCATTCATGATATTCAAAGTAATGATACATTTCCTTTGGAATATTGTTTCGTCATTAAAAAAAATTATTTTTTCAACATATCCAAATAAGTAATTTGTTATAGCACCAGGAAAAACAATATTGTAACACATTTTCTGTTTTTGAAAATTATGACACAGAATATTGATACGTGCAGTATCACAAGTATTACTCTACTAATTTCAGGATGTTGAAATTATCGATTGCTGTTTTTTTCTGCACGATTGCCTACAGTCAAGCTTACTCAGGTGGTGCGCCTGTAGACACCTGCGATGATATGACACCCAAGCATCCTTTTGAACCAAAATCTTCCGCTTTTCCTTATAAGATATCACTTAGCAAGAAAGAAGTCAAAGCTGGTGAGACTGTAGATATTGTTATCGGAGGCAAAGAGTTCAAAGGGTTCCTACTTCAAGTTAGAAATGGCGATAAAGCTGTGGGTCAATTCCAAATTACTGGTAGCGATAAATTCGCCAAAGCTATTGACTGCCACGGCACAAGCCAGGTAAATTATTATTAGTTGCCTCCCACATACATGTAGTTGTTTGTGAGCTTTACAGTGAATACCTACTTTTTTTCAATAGAGTGCAGCAACTCATAAGAACGCAGAGGCCAAAAACAATTTCAAGTTATCTTGGAAAGCTCCCAAAGCCGCAGGAAAATATACCATTTAGTAAGTTAACAAAAATAGGACTTTGGAAAAATTCTGATTTTTTTTTTCATTACAGCGCAACAGTGGCTGAAAATGGTGCTTCATTCTGGGCGAGAAAACCAACTGAAATTATAACTGTATTTTGAAGTATATATTGAAAATTCCTGTAATAGTTGTAAATTATTAGGGATGGATGTTAGGAGTTAAGAATGTAAATACTGAGGAATCCCAAAGAAAACTAAAAAATATAAAATAAATTGTTTATATTTCAGTTTCAATATTTTTCCACCTCCCTAGGCCTTTCGCACACCATAATTTTTAGCTCAACAGTAGCGCATAAATAAAACTTTTTACTTAATTTCCTGACATTCAATTATTATTCTAGTTATCTCTCTCTAATATTGGCATTTGATTATTGTAGTTATTTCATCTCAGAGTAATGATTAGGCTTGTTTTGGTTCTCTGCCCGGACTGTTCCTAATAGTCAGAAAACAGTCACCCAACTGAATACTGAACATATTGTCGCGTTAACCTTTTCAGTCCACAAGTCTGTGGTCCACAACTGACTCACTGATTTTGGACGATTCGAAACAGTACATACAGGAAACCAGAACAAACCTATTATTACTCTGAGTTATTTCATGCCAACCACAATATTCTTCTTCTCTTTCGAGTTTGTATGCCTTCAAGGTTAGCTACTGGAGCTACTCGGCCATTGACATAATATGTTCCACCATTTTTTAGGAAGACAAAGAGTAACTTTAAGGCTCTTTTGTGCTTATCTGAATATTCACACTTTTTTGCTTATCACAAAATAACCATGGCATTGAGCTGACATGTCTGTTGATAGTAATAATTCCCTTTCAACAATTGGGAATCACAACTTTAAAGTTATTTGGTTTACGATAAAGAACTTATTGAATGCTTACCGTTTGTAGCCACCTCTAAAAATAAGACAAAATATTATTCGTTATATTTACCTCTGAGTTACAGTCAGCCTTATGACAGGAAGTATGGGTTTTGTGATATTGAAGGACTTCACCAATCTTGGCACCATGGCACTACTTACAATTCCTCAAATTTAGAGCAAAAATGGTTGGAATTAAAATTGAAATGCTCAGTCAACAGTCATCAGTCCTAAAAATAATTGAATGCATTGTAATTTTTTGTATTTTTTTTATGTGTTTCAAATGTTTTGTGGCAGCAATTTTATTTACAAAAATTTTACCAAATCCGAACAAGTATGGCTGCACCGTGATTATATGAATGTTTGTATGCTGAACGTAAATTATCCTATGTTACTTAAAAACATAGTTACTTTGTTCATCAAACAAGGGTTCCACCAGGCATCTGTTATAAAGGCACGCCTTAAAAAGCTATTGTACACCGAAACACGTATCGCGTTTTTGTAAAACTATATGTAGTGGAAATCACAATGAAGTGTTTCTTGAATACGTTTCATTCTGTATTATTAATTTCACATCTCCATCAAACTCTCATCACATCTTCTTCGTCCATAGATTCGTCACTGAAAACCATTTAGTTCATACTCCCTTCAATTATTTACCAGTGAACACCAGTTTTTATGGCATGGGAGAGGAAGGTTTTGGCTTTCCACTTCTACATCTTTATACAAAAAATATGGAAATTTGACAAAGAAAGAAAGAAACCAATTGATTTTAAAATTAACTCTTTATGAAGACGTGTAAATAATACAAAGACGTAACTTTCAAACACAAACTAGAAGACATAGCCCTCTCGAAACAAATACTTTCCTACAAAAAATTGAATTGCACGAAAGAAAACATGCTTTCGAATCAACTACTTCTATATGAACATTGAAAAAAACACTGTTTTCTATTCAGTTTGTACTACAATAATTCGTTATGGAATTGATTCAGATGTCATTCACAGAATTGCTACACAATATCATAAGTAAAAGAGGTAAAATTTCACTTACATGATACACTGTCATCCTCAATGACGGACATCGATGTTTTGGAATGAGACATTTGTCTTATTGCCTCTTCAGCAAGATGGAGCACTCAATTCATTCATAAAATTACTACACCATGTTACGAATAAGTTAAATCTACTCATGTCATCGGTGATATTACGTAATGACATTCATTCGCTTATTTGATTCGATCGCAACCATAGGAATCTTGTTTGAATCGAAAGAGACATATTTTTAGGAGAGATTAAATTTAGGGAAAAAGAGGTTTCGACTTTTCACTTCTCCATCTTTATTGAGACAAATGTGGGAATCTTCCAAAGAATGTTATAAATGGAATGACCCCCGTTACTTGTTGAAAATTAATATCACCATCCATGATAATGATTGAACAATTTTCACAATCATTACTTCTAGATACGTTTCGCTAACACCGTGGCTTCATCGGTAATATGGAGCTACGGTGTTAGCGAAACGCGTCTATAATTAAAAAATATTCGTGAAAATTCTTTAATTTTTATTATGGTTAGCGCCGAAGGAATGAAGAAAACAATTGATTTTGAAATAAACTCTTTATAAAGATGTTTAGTTCATGCGAACAAGTAACTTTCAGACTCAGGCCTATATCTGGATACCAAAGTAACGGCGATTAATGACAAGTCTAACTTTAGTCGCGACAGTCTTATCATCTTATACAGTCTTCCTGTATACAGGAAACGATTAAAAATGTTTTCTTCCGCAATAACAGAGAGTGCTCACAAATCGGGTAATTCACAAATGTCCGGCCACTCTGGCTTCAAAATTGAAGCCAGAAATATATACTTTCGACCAACTATACATTAAAAACTTTTTTGAATAATTCAATAGTTATGGTATATATAATCAAGATTTACTGCTAGTTGGGGCGAAAAAATTCAATTTTCAGAATAACTTGCTTAGAATTTTTTCTGTGACTCGTCGAAATAGAAAATATTGATGATAAAGGTAGTGTAGGTCTATCAAAATATTAAAACAAGGATATATTCAAAAATAATTGTCCGGACACTCTTTGAACCTAAGCTATAAAACGAAATATAAAGAAGCAGCCAAATATAAGAACTGTCAGCAAATGTCAGATTTATCGATATTTTTTGTAATTTCTACGTGTTCATGTAAATTAATTTTAAGTCCATTTACTAACATAATTAACGTAATTTCTAGAAAAATAAAATAAGTAGCAATGACTATCATCTGATTCTATATTTTTGTAAAATGTTTGCGTCGCTTAAAAATAAAATACGAGAAGAAACAGGGAGTGATCTGACAAAGTTAACCGCAAAAATCACATCATCAACAGTTCAGAAAATCGAATCATTGAGGGGCCGTTCGGCCCACGGCTCCACTTCCAGTCTCAACTCTGTTCAGTCTTCGGAAGGCTTCAAAGAAGACGGCCCCATCGAACCTGAAGAGTTCAGAAGGAGGTTTTCGAAATTTGAGAATGAATTCAGCAAGAAATTCGAACAGAAGGAGCAGGAGTGGCGTGATATCGTCAAGGAGAAGGATAAACGTATCCAGACACTGGAAAGGGAAAAAGACGAAGCTTACAAACAAATATCCAAATTAAAGGAGTCTTTGAAAAGTGCCGAAGGTTTGTCATAGTGAAAATTATTTAGCTCTTGATTATTTACGTTTTATTAATGAGATTGTAATTTGCCTATTTTTTTTCTTATTGATCTGCAAGTGTGCCCGTTCCAAAATTGAAGGTCGACTCTTTCAGTTGTATTGCCAATTGCATATGCAGGAAATTTTTTGTGAAGATTCCTGCACTGACGCCTGTTGGATATAATCCAACGCCCTTCGTGGTATAGCCAGGGGAGTAGTTGTTTTCTGGTAGGCGTCAGTCCATTCAACCTACTGTGTAGGTATATCCAAGACTGGCTTGAACGTTTAAAGTTATTTTCTTTAGATTACCTATTTTCGTTGCTCTAAACATCATGTCAAGTTTTTTGATCTGCAGTAACATCCTTGAGAGCTCTAAACTATCAGAAAGTGTAATATTTCACTTTTAGGTAGTAAATATAAACTAGCAATATTACTTGTATCGATTGTGATTGTGATTTCATGTAGACAAATTCGTAACTGCCAATGAACATGTTTTATAGCACAAGCACATTATATTTTTGAAGATTATCACTTTTGTTGAATAATGAACTTGAAGAAAATTTGTTTTTTTTGTAGCTATAGAAATATACAGATTGCTTGAAATCAAAACAATATTGAGTGTTTTCTCTTGGAAAATTGTATTACACTGAATGAGAAAGTCATGAAAAAATCTCACAGTATCCAATACTGAAGAAAACAGTCCTTCTGTAAACTTTTGGTCTAGTCTAAAAAATAATTCTGTATGAACCTTGCAATATGTACTTAATTAGTAAACAAAATATAATTTTGGAAAAATTAACAGTTTTAATCAGTAAAATAAATGTGACAAACAAATTATTATCCACATAATGTTCTAAAAATATGTTATACTTTTAGAGATGTTAGTATAATTTATCATTCAAATCAATATGTTAATTAAGGGAAAAAATGTCGTTCTTCTCTGTATAATGAACGGTTCAATGTCATTTTTATTTGAATATCTGATTTTGATTTTAGAGTTCAACTCGAAGATATTAGTTCATAAGGAAAATAATGAGGAGATTGGTACTTTGCAATCCCAAGAATTGAGTAAAATTAAGCAGTTAGTATTGTTGAGAGACGAAGAAATTGCTAGTAAATCAACTGCCCTTAAAGAAGCTAATATCCAGCTAGAGAAATTAAAGAATGAGCTTTCACGATTGAGGAGACAAGAGGAAGTTTTAAGTGACGTACAGGTTTGTGCACATTATTGAATATAGAAAACCTGTATTGTTCTGTTGGTATATCCCAAAAAGAATTTCAAGTTGTCATTTCAATTTTCAAGATAAACATTATTTTGGTAGAAACCAAAAGAATTATGAATTGTCTATTTACATGTTACCGTAGTATCAATCAAAAGTCATTGAACTGTGGTTGATTATTCAAATGGAGTTCTACTGATAACACCATAAGTTATATCCAACTGTAATTAGTATTGTTAGTTTTCCAACATTTCAATTGAAATTGCTTATATTTGGAAAAGGTTTTCTTGATCTCTATTAGAGAACTTGGAAATATTTCTTCCAGGTTGGATTAACTTTTTTAGTAGATTTTTATAGTCAACAGTAAAATCATTTTTGGAGTTGATTTCAGTTTCATACATAATTTCTCAATTGTTTTGATTGCTCTGAAGTTCTTCAAAAACTCCAGTGATTTCAATCCTCCAAATGAATTTTTCAAACATCTCGTTCTTTCATCATCTGTATTTAACAATGTGGTAGTTGCACGTGTGTCATTCCCTAACTGTTGGTGAGCTTCTGGGCAATTCACAGGTATGTGCTTCTCGCTTCCAAATATAATTTCTAATCAGTTGAATGAGCCCCCTTTTCGTTTTAGGATGATCTGGAATCTTTGCGGCACTCGAGTTCCCGTGATTTAGCCTACCTTGCTGCTGAATTGGCAAAAAGCGAGCAGGAGAAAAAGCATCTTTCAGATCTAGTGGTCATTCTGAGGCAGAACACTTCGAACGAGACTTCGACTGATGAACGGCTTGTTTCCGAAAGGAAGTTGCTGGAGCAAAGATTGGAGGAAGCCCACCTGCATCTGGCCGATATTAAGACTTCGTGGAGTGATAAGATATCTTCCTTGGAAACACAGGTGAGAAAAATGTTAATTGTTAGTAAGCTGGCAATTCATGTTTCTTACTCACATGAGGAGAAGAAACAATTTAGAGGTTTGGTTATAAAACACTGTACAATATATTATTATTATTAAGTAATATTACTTCATATTGTCGTCCACTATTCAAAAAACTAGGTATATTGACTGTGACTAATCAATTCATTTATGAATGCTTACTTTTTGCCAAGAAAAACATTTCCAGTTATACTGTTCAAAATGAATATAATACCAGATATAAATCCGTTATAGTGCCGTATTTTCGCTTATCCAAGAATCTCAACTCTTTCAGATTTCTGTCTATTAAATATTACAATATGATACCAAACGAGTGGAAGGAACTAGTCCTAGTTAAATTTGCTAAAAGGGTAAAAAGTTTTCTTAAAGAAAATGTGTTTTATAAAAGTGAAGAGTTCATACACTTCTTTAATGGAACATGACTAAGTAACAGTAATGTATTATAACTAAGTTCTCCTACTATTTTACATAGGTTATTTTTGTATATATATATAACTTTATTTTACATTTTAAATAGCTTAAAATTTGTTTCTGCAAGTACAAAATTTTCCTTTTACTATTTTTTTGACGACTGTATACAATTTTTTTAATTGTCACACAAGAGAATAAACTCTACTCTACTCTACTCTACTCTATTATTTTTTACTTTATGTTCGTAAATATTTCACATTATCTCCTGTTATTGAACTTCAAATCAATCCAATATTATTACATCTTATAAGCAAAGTCCCATATTTTTTAAACAAAACATAATTTCTTGATGTAACTCTGCCTCAAAAATACCTACCTCAAACAAATTGAATTCTAGGAATGATACAGAATGAAATAGATATTGCTCACATTATTGGAAAATCCAAATTTTATCTATCAGGTGTTCCATTTGAAAAATAAAATTTGATCAAGGTTTACATAGTAATTGGAAAATTTCAAATGTACAAATTTATTGTATTTCAATTGAAAATATATACTGCTACTGAATATGCAGATTTCATTTGAATTTATCTAATACGAAGTTGTAATTAGAGCTTGGTGTAATTTACCAAATATAATATAATAGAAGAATACAGCCTCTTCCATTTTATATCAGCATAGCTTTTGATAAAATTAATTCCACTTTGCTTATTGAAAGACTGTCTGAGATTGGTATAAGTCAAAATTTTCTGATATGGTGTTATAGTTTTATATAACAGTGGTTCATCAAGTTGTGAATCTTACTTGAAGGTTATCAAGAAGAATATGTCTTTTGCAGTCCATCATAATATACAAACAAAAATTATTTCTGCGTCGATATTAATATATCACTATTTTTCACATATGTTTTAAATGAATTCTTGATACAATAGACGGTGACACAATCTCATTGTATTTTTGTAGGTTGGCAGATTGAGCAGGCAGGCAGCTGAGGAGGGTTCCGAACGACGAAGGGCAGTCCAGGAGAGAGACAAACTCACAGAAAAAATTAAGCAGCTCGAAGCAGAGTTGGATTGCTGCAAATTCGAACTGAGTAACAAAGAAAACAAAGTGAAGCGTCTCAATGAAGACGTGAACGAATTATCTGCCGAACTGAAGTCTTTGCGAACAGAAAATGACGAAGAAATAACCTTCCTTCGGACGGAACTCGTGAGTCGACAATCTCTGTGACCTGGGGCTTGTACCTACTCTATCATTTCCACTATATGCTTTGTTTATTTTAGCACATGGCTTTTTGCATCTTTTATCCCTGTTTGGAATTTATTGTATCCCCCCAAGTAAGAGATTATTTTCGTTTCCTTTATTCAGGTAATAGCAGCTGTTTTATTTATATTCATTTTTATATCTACTGTTGTTGAGTTGAATAAAGTTTATTGCTGAGTATTTTGAGTTATTTTTTCATTGGGTTGATTTCGAGTTTTTCATTCCCCATGATCCTCGTTCATTCATCCCTAAGATGGGATCCAGATCTTTTTAACTCTGTTAATTTTTAAGGACAATTCCAAAACGGAATTGAAAATTGTGAGGAAAAATTTGGACAATATCGAGAACGAACTGGAAAAAACTGAAGACGAATGCAGCAAAATGAAGATATCTGTCGATTCGGAACACCTTACCAACAACTCCTTGAGGCAGCTGATTACGAAATTGGAAAAAGAATTGGGAGAAGAAAAGTCAAACTCTCTCAATGTTCAGAAGACGCTTACAAGGTATGATTTGGTTGATCTTAATTTTCTTTCTATCTGCTCTCATGGCCTTTGACTGTGTGAATCATGAAATACTGCCGAAGAAACTTCATTGCTGTGGAATAACTCATCAATTCGGACACAGACAGTAAAAACTGATTGGGGAGTTCCTGAAGAATCCAATCTTGGCCCTTTTAATTTTTTCTGTATGTGAACGACCTAATGATGCTCAATATATCAGGAATAGTACTCTTTTTGCTGATGATATTACTTTTTTATGGCATGGCAGTAGGGAAACTGAACTACACAGAATAATTAATGCTGCTGACATAAAATAACTCAAAAAATGGTGAGACTCAAATCTTTCATTCAATGTTTCAAAAACAAATATAATAAATTTTAGGTATTGAAATCTCTGCCAAGAACCTAAGATCATTACATTATATAAGAAAATTTATAGATCCTAACCAAACTTCATTTATCAATTACTATAATAAATATAGGTCAATTTACAGAGTTACTTTGAAGCATGCTAAGCAGATCTACTACAAACATAGACTAAATATAGCAGGAAATAAATCTAAGGAAAGCTGGTCCATTATCAACGATCTCAGAGGAAAGTTCAATAAACATTCATCTGAAGTAGGCTTGGATCCCAATTTATTAAATAACTTCTATTGCACCATAGCGGGCAAACTCACCGAAAATATATCATCAACTGTTAATCCCTTAAATTTTCTTTCCAATATTGACATATCAGAAAGTTTCCCCCTCTATGAAACAAATCCCGAGGAAATAATAGCAGTTATCAAAAATATCAAAAACAAGAATAGCAAAGGTATAGACGATATTTCTGTTAAAATTTTTGAAAATCTACCTTATTCAACCTTAGTGGTTTTATCATAACTCATAAATCAGTCTTTTGAATCTGGCGAGTTCCCATCGTTTCTGAAGACATCTCTGATAATCCCTTTGTATAAGGGTGGATCCAATGATGACCCTTCCAACTTCCAGCCTATAGCACTTATTCCTACCCTTGCTAAACTCATAGAAAAACTAGTGAAAAGCAGAATTTTTTAATTTTGCAATGATAATAACATCCTTACTTCTCGTCAATTTGGATTCCAAGCAAATAAGGGTACTAATGATGCTATGTTCTCTCTGTTAGAAACGATATACTCAGAATATAACGTTAAAGAAGCAGTCGCTGCTATTTTCTGTGATCTATCGAAAGCTTTCGACTGTGTCAACCATGAGATCCTTCTTAATAAGTTGCAACAGTATGGCTTCAGAGGCAACACTCTCCACTGGTTTCATTCGTACTTATCAGGTCGCAAACAGGTAGTTAAAACAACCAAGTGTTCCTCTGCTCAAACTATCAAATGTGGTGTACCACAAGGATCGATCCTTGGCCTAATTTTGTTTCTTATCTACATAAATGACTTGGCTTTTATAGATATAACGGCCACAATTACCCTCTTTGCTGATGACACAACTTTATTATGGCACAACAAGGACATTCCTACCCTTCAAGATGCCATCTCAGCTGACATCAACAAAATCAAAGAATGGTGCGACTGCAATAAGTTATCATTCAATATCAATAAAACTAGCATACTTACCTTCCACTGCAACTTACCTGAGATCTGCCTTGGTGACAAAATCTTAGACAGGGTACATAATTATAAATTTCTAGGGTTGAACATTGATGATAAACTGAAATTTAAAAATCACACAATAAACTTATGCAAGAAGCTTGCCTCAGGTTGCTATGCATTAAGAGTGATTTCTAGAGAACTAGGCTACTCCCATTCAAGAACAGCTTATTTCGCTTTAATAGATCCCCATATTAAATATGAAATTGCCTTCTGGGGAGTCTGTTCTAGAGATTTATTTCAAATGATTTTTGTGCTCCAAAAAAGGGCTGTCCGATATATGTGCAAAGCAGCTCCTAGGGATCCATGCAAGCCTCTTTTCATAGCTCACGGTATTTAACAGTAGCTGCCCTGTTTATCTTGGAATCAATTTGCTTGATAAAAAAAAATTATTCTTGTGCATCTCCCCCTTCCTCATATAATACTCGTAGCCACAATAGTAACATAGATCTACCTATTCCTGCGAGCTCCTTTGTTAGGGATTCAATTATATTCAACGGGATCAAACTGTTTAACCACTTACCAGCCCGAATTAAAGAAATTATAGTGCTTAACAAATTCAAAAAAGCAGTTAAAATGCTACTTGTTGATAGGGCCTATTATTCAGTTAAGGAGTATCTTGACGATTCACTTGAATCTTAACTTTTATTTCTATATCTTGTTATTTCCAGCTGAATATCTCAGTGTATTTCACATTTTTAGCTTATGTTTATTGTATTTTGTTTAAACTGTTTATGTTTTTTTATGTAGATTTTTGTATCTTACATATTATTTATGACTTTGTCTACAAGATGTAGTTCTTCAGACAATAAAGTATATTTGATTGATTGATTAGAATTGACACTGAATTTTTTTTGTCGGATACAACAATCATTCATAATTATAATTACACCAGATTTCTATGTATTTATTGTGATTTGAAATTTCATAGGCACAAAAATAATCTTAATGAACAATTATCTGCTAGCTCTTATGATAGATATTAGAATTAGGGTGTACACACCCTCTGCAACACTTCATCCTTTTAAAAAAACGCAACAAGTATTTCGCTATACAATAGCTTTTTCAGGCGTGTCTTTACATAAAAAACAACACAAGGCTCAAAAAGTATATCATCTTTGACCTTTTTTCCATCCTTAAAAGAACATACATTTTTCAAATTATTAATTATGTCACAAACTCGATTTTTTCAGGGTAACTTCCGAAAAAAATACTGCTCTGTTGCGTAACGCTGAAATTTCACAACAAATGGAGCTAGTGAAGCAAGATATGAGACAACAGGCAAGAGAAATGAATGATTTAATAGCAAAATTAGCTCAATTGGAAGAAGAAAACTCTAAACTCAAGCAAAGCGTGCTGGTAGAGCAGAAATTAAGGAATAACATCGTGGAACTGGAGGACCAGCTGTCTGAAAAAAGCAAGGTATGTAACAACACGGTGTTCTTGTATAACACCTGGGTGTTATACAAGGGAATAGGTAAAAATGTTATAAGAATAGAAGGGTAAATAACTAGTTTCAAAAAAATTAATTTTTGAAAAATCATTTATTTGTTAAAGTCCTAAAATGGTTGCTTGTGGAACACTATGAATTAAATATCAACACTGACTGCTGTCTTTTAAGAGTGTTACTAAAAAAAACACTTCTACCTAACTCAAATTTTCATTCTTAAGTGTATATTTCTACCTAGACTGAAATTAATGTTTCCCTTGGTAGAATATACGGATGCTACAGTTACGCCTTGCGGACCTGAAGAAAACCCTCCAGCAAGAACTGAGAACTCCTGGCAACCCGAACTATCACTCAGACCTGATGGACAACTACTCGCCCGCCATTCTTGCTCCAACGCAAGTCTCCACCAGGAATTTTTCCAGCGTCGTCCGTCGCGAAGACGAAGATGTCAATTTCAAGTATTTGAAGCATGTAATCATCAAGTTCCTCACCAGCAGGGAGTACGAGGCACAGCACCTCATCAAAGCGATATCAACTCTGCTGAAATTCACACAGGAGGAGGAGAAACTCATACAGGACACGCTCGAGTGGAAGAAGTCGTGGTTCGGCAGCAAGCCCAAGTATCAGGTAACCGCTAAGTCCAAGAACTACCCCAACAGTTGATGGTTGGCTTTGTGAATTTTGTTTATGATATGTGTTCAAATAGAGGATGAAATTGAAAGTGGTTTATCATGGTTTCAATGGAAGGTAAGCAAGTTCTGGCTTTGTTTTCTATGGTTTCACTGAAGAAGGCTTTTTCCAAATGTAGGAAATGTCCTTTCCGCGAGTAAAATAATTTGTAGGCAACTTTTGAATGATTGGCACTGACAATTTTCAAGTCCATACTAGTATACCCTCTGAATATGTTTCTCTAAAACTTGAACAGCATTAAAATGTAACAGAAACTGTTATCGAAAGTTTTTTACTCAATTTGGTAAACCTCAATACATGTATTGCCATACACCATGCTGATAAATATATGCTTCACTACTAAACTTGAACGTAATGAGCCGCAATCAGAGAAGAAGTACTACTGGCCAATATTTTGAAAGTCTCAGAAGAAAGGTCATGCAAACACTCCTCAGTACTGTAGTCAGAATTTTGCTAGAGTAATTTGTTCACCTCTCTATAACGTTTTTCTGGTTCTTTAAAAATTTCAGATATTAACCATTCGGCAATCTTATCTTGTTACTTCAAAATTATCAATTAGTAGTAAAGAGTATTATAATTCCATTTGTTCATATAAACATGAAGTAGATTGTTATGCCTCGCCCCTTTGAAATAGATTTTTTTATTACTCAAAATGTGGAGACAACACAGACTATCTGTAGGGAGCCAAAGAAGTATTTTGCTCATTTTATAGCTACAAACTGAAATACCACATTCAAATTATTATAGAGAGTCTTCGAGGTAGTTCCTGATGGCCTCGTTTCTTCCAAATTATTTTATTCTATTTTTCACAGCAAGAGTTCTGATATGTAAAAAGCAAGTACAGAAAATGTAGAAAAATTATCTTTAATAGCAAAGGCAGCAAATGCGGTAGGCTGACCCACATTCCTTTTATACATTGAACTTTTTACTTTGAACTTTCATGCCATTTAAATTAATTTTTATTTGAAAACGAAAGCTTGAAACATGTAAAACTATTCACACTACAACATGTAATTGTTTGAATAGTTTTCAGAATTAATTGAGTTGTGATGTATTTAATATGTCTAAACTTTTATAAACTTGTTCAGAATAGTAGTTAATTAAATCATAGTAGTACTGTACTGAATGTTCCATTTGTAAATAAACAACTTTAATTTATAAACATATATGTATAGGTCCTACATAAGTAATATATTGTTTACATTTTTAACAGGAGCTTGTAAATAATGTACATAATTTATTCCCGTTCACTGTAGATTTTTCAACTTGCAATTAAATTTATATTTATCCAACTCTTCTTTTTGATTTCTACTGGAGTATTGAATTTTTTTAAAAAGAATTCTGTTTTGCTACAAAGTTGTTACTTTGGGAAACAAAGTTTTTGGCTTTCTACTACTTCATCCTGATACAAAAAAAGAAGGATGAGGGAGTCTTCCAAAGAAAGGAAGGAAGTAACTCTATACATGAATGTGTAGATCATGCAAAGAAGTAACTTTCAGACACACACTGAAAGAAAGTCCTCCTGAAACAGCTACTTTCATATAAACATTGAATTATAGGAAAGAAAAAATTCTTTCGAAACAAATACTTCTATATGAACACTGAATTATACAGAAGATACTTTTCTCTACTCAGTTCATATTTCAAACATTCGTTGTGGAATAAAAATTAGATATTATTCACATGAGTTCTACTTTAAATGAATGGTAACAAATTGCACTTACATGAAACACTGTCATCCTCACTGGTAGACATTGATGTTTCGCCTTAAGACACTTGCCCTAAGGCTCTTCAGTACCAAATTCGATAACATTATAGAAAATACACACACTTCATTCAAGAATTAAGATTTTTTAATGTCACGGAATATGCTTGATCTGCTTATGTCATCGATGACATCGTAATGACATTCGTTCACCTATTTGATTTAATCCCAGCCAAGAGGAATCTTATTTGAATTGTAATTGTTCTATTTTTACTTGTATTTTATTTCACTATTATTTTATTTCAGGTTTATTTTGGTTAATATAATTGTTATTTTCAGCTATTCATTTTCAATTCTTCTTTTTTAGTTGTTTCAGGGATTTATATAGTAGACAATGAAAGTCCGAACTAGTGAAATTTATCATGAAACATTGTCAATCACCTTCAAACAATCAATATGATTAATTCACTATTTCTGTTATAATAACATGTGCCCTAAACTGGCTATGATATGAAATGTGTACCTGATGATCTCGATATGTGTTCAATTATGTCTGAAAGTAAAATAAAGATTTTTATTATTATGGATTTTCATCAAGTATCTTGAGAAATATTCTGTTTCCAAATCTTCTTTAGTGAGCCTAATTAATTAGGTTGCATAAAATTTTCATCAAGCATTCAACTGTAGACATTCTGAAAGTGTCAAAAATCCTTCAAGGCGACTTTGACATCATTTTTGGGTTCATAATAAAGAACACCAAAATAAAACTATAACTAAAGTGCATATATCAATATAATTCCAAAATATAAATAATCTGGGCACAGGTATACAAATTAGTCGTGTTTATACATTTTTGATAATTCAAAAATCAAAAACATCAAGTACTCCACAACTATCAACATTCACCTCCACTCTCAAAGTGCAAAATTCATTGATTATTAGATGAAAACTATGTGACTAGAACTGATGTTTAAAATCTCGAAAACCAGAGGCTAATAATGCTTTTATGGAAAGTCATTCATGTTAAATTATTTGTAATATTTTTTCAGCTACGAACAATTTTCTAATACAGAAGTAGATATGCAAAAAACACATTCTGATATGATATTTGGGAATATTTACTTTGTGCTTGGGTATTCAATAGAGGGAGTCACAAGTAGCTAAAACTCCACCTTTTAAATTTGTTATCTCAAAATTCTCATCATTGGTAGGAGTGAAAATATTCTAGATATGCTAACCTATCAATAATATGCCCAGTCTATAAAAAGTTGCGAATCTAAAATATTACACCATCTCACTTAAACTAACCATAAAAGCCTAAAAAGGTTTTATCACAGAAAATAATTATATTCGATACGTTGAAAAACGTTTCAAAATCTTACACCTAATAACAAATTTTATTTGTCTGTCAAAAAGTCTTCAAATGGTGTACGATATGTTTGTTTCGTTCCATATCGTGATTTAAATATTGTGATCTGTGATCAATTCGCTACTTAACATGGTTCAATTTCTACATTGATTTACAAAGCCGTCCTCTCATCGTATACGATGACGGCTTCGTTATCCACCAGGGAGTCCGTATCCTTATGCAAGAACTGGCTTCGGGACTTGCTCAAAGCGATTATCGCAGCTTCATCGTTTCGCATGCGATTTTTCCTCTTCTTGCTGAAGTTCACCTACAATCAGAAACATACGCCATTGAAAAATTTTTATTTTTTGCATGTCCACACAAAAAGTTTCATATTCTGAACATCTTGAATGCATAATTACCATGTAATGAAATTTAAAAATTAATAGGGCATTCGAGACGGTCAACATTGAGCTACTTTTAATGAAATTAAATAAGTATGGACTAGATTATAAAGTATTACAATGGTTCACAAATTACCTCAGATATCGGAAGCAGCTAGTTAAATATAATCAAGTGACATCAAGTACTTTAAATGTGATTTCTGGAGTCCCTCAAGGGTCAGTATTGGGTCCACTGCTATTCTTGCTGTACATAAATGATATTGTGATACATGTTAAAAGGTGTAAGATAAAACTGTTTGCCGACGACACTATGTTGTACTGTTCTGGGATGACTAATGAAATCTCAGAATGTTTAAATGAGGAACTATTAAATATAAACGAGTGGTTATGTGACAACGGCCTCAAGTTAAATGTTAATAAAACAAAATGCATGTTAATAGGTAGCAAATATCGTTTAAAACAACTGCAAGATGAACAGCTGTCATTGAATCTTTATATTGATAATGTCATCATTGAAAGGGTAACAACTTTTAAATATCTGGGAGTGGTATTAGATCAAGAATTGAACTTTAATGCACACTGTAGTTATATTCAGAAGAAAATAGCCACGAAAATTCATCTTTTATATAGATTGAAAAATAAAATAAGTGAATATGCAAAATTAACAATTTATAAATCAATAATAGCACCCCACTTTGACTATTGCAGTACATTACTCTATTTTGTGAGCAATGAAAATCTAAACAGA